ACACTTTGAATCGTTTTTGATGATGTCCAGTAAGTTAATTGATTTTCATATGATAGATTTAACTTCTTTTATGAACGAAAGTTATTTGTTATATTTGAAATTATTCAAAACTATGGATCTAATAATTTTACAACAACGGTATGTATAGAAATAACCTTTTTTTTCTTATCATTGTTAATTTTAGTTTTGCTATCAATTTTGATCAATGGAAAATCAAATACAATACAAAATATTCAGGAAGTGAGGCACTAAGAAGAAGAGCAATATTTCTTCAAAATTCAAAATTAATTCAAATGATCAATAGACAAAACCTTTCGTTTACTGTCACTAATGAAGGTCCTTTCAGTGTATTAACAAATGAAGAATACAGAATGCTTCATCATCGTATTGACATAGAAAATGAAATAAAACAATTGAAATCTCATAGAATGAATTTGCTTAAAAAGATGGATAATAAAGAAGTACTTGACAGCATTGATTGGAGAAGTGAAGGGAAAGTAACTCCAGTAAAGAATCAAAGAAGATGTGCTTCATGCTATGCTTTTGGAAGTATTGCAACAATAGAATCATTAATAATGCAAGAAACTTCTATTAAAGAGATTGATTTATCTGAACAACAAATAGTAGATTGTAGTCAAGGAGAATATTCTAATTGGGGATGTACTTGTGGGAATGTAGGAAATAGTTTTAATTATGTAAGAGATCATGGGATTCTTCTTGAGAGGGATTATCCTTATACTGGCAAAGCAAATAATTGTTCTATTGATGGTAAAAAACCAGTAATAAAAATAAAAGACTACTCTTTTGTTTTTCCACAGACAGAAGAAAATTTAAAAGTTGCAGTATATCATCAACCTGTAGCAGTATCTATTGATTCTTCACAATTAAGTTTTCAATTTTATGAAGGGGGAATTTATGATGAACCAAAATGTAAATGGGTAGATCATATTGTAACAGTTGTTGGATATGGGACAACAGAAGAACATCAAGATTTCTGGGTTGTTAAAAATTCTTATGGAACTGAATGGGGGTTAAATGGATATATTTATATGTCACGTAATAAAAATAATCAATGTGGAATAGCAACAATAGCAGTGTATCCAAAAGGATTAATTATTCTTTAATAAATTAAATAAAAAAATAGTTTATTTAAAAAGAAAGTAGTTTAATTGAAAACATGTTTTACAAGTTATTATTTACTTGTATTGTTGAATAAAAGAATTATGGAATACTTGAATTCTTTTTCCAACTTCTTCAATTTCATTTTCTGGTGGTAACAAAGCAATTCTAAAATGATATGTACCTTTTTTCTGACCAAATCCAGATCCTTTTACAACAGCAATTCCAGTCTTTTTTAACATTTCAATACAATATGTTTCATTTGGGTCTTCATGTCTTTCATGACATTCTTTTATGAATTTTTCTGGTAATGTAATTCTTGGGAAAAGATACATAGCACCAGCAGCTCTATTACAAGACATACCTTCACACTTGTTGAAGATATCACATAAATATTCTGCTTTACGTTTTAAAGAACCAAGAATTGCATCTCTTTCTTGTTTAAATAATGGATAGGATGGGTCTCCTTCTTTTGGAAGATTACAAATTATAGACATTACAACTTGTCCTACTACATTAGAACATAAAGTAGTAGAGACAATTTTATACATCATTAGACGAGCAAATTCTGGAATATTGGTACATGCAAACATTCCTCCTCTCTTACCACATTCTCCATAGAACCCTTTTGAAATAGAATGGAAAGAAATTAATTCAAGTCCATGTGCAATTTCTGGCTCCATTGTAGCAAGAATTTTTCTAAATGAGTTGAATGGAACATCAGTCCAAATATTTTCTTGATATACTTCATCAGCCATTAAACAAATCTTCTTTTCGTTACAGAATCTAATAATTTCTTTTATAGTGTCAATTGGTAAAACTTCCCCACATGGATTTCCTGGATTAATAACAACTAATGCCTTAATTTTAATTCCTTCGTTCTGATATTTTTCATATTGTTCCTTAATATCATTAATATCTGGTAACCAATAATTGTCTTCGTTTAAATTATAATGACATGTTTTTCCTCCTAATTGTTGAATACAAGCACCATATAATGGATATTGTGGATTTGGAATCATAATACCATGAAGTGGATGTGAAAGCATTAATTGCATAACAATTTTAATAGCAATAGAAGCACCATCAGTTAAATAAATATCTTCTGGGGACATTGGAACATTATCTCTTTCTTCCAAGAAATGTGCAATTGTTTGTCTAACATAAGCAAGACCTTTAGATGGTGAATAAGCACCAGTTGTTCCATCACAACCAGTAGCTTTAATAATTTCTTTAGCACGAGCAACAGCATCAGCATGGAAAAGTTCTGGATGTTCTGTAAGAGGAGGATATTCTACCATAGAAGTAATTTCTCTAACGAAAGTTAATGGTTTTTGATTTAATAATTGAGGATTACCACTATTACATTTAACAACTTTTTCAAATGGATAAGGATTTGGTTTACCTTCTGCTTTTGCTTTTTTAATAGCATTATCAATTTCTTCTGAAACAATAGCAATTTTACCACGTACAGCAAATTGGAATGCAACTACATCTGGACTAATATTTTCACTAGCAAATGACCTCATTTAATGAATTTGAATTGGTTTATTAGTTTAATTCTCCTTTAAAAACACCAGAAATTAAGTTACAAAAGATTTTATTCAGAAGCTAAAGGTTCGAAGGTCCAAACTATTCTTCTTTTCTTCTAATAGATTCTCTTTTTTTCTTATTTTTGTAAATCTATTGAAAATTATTTTAATGACTCACATTACTATTAAACAATAATTTTTTAATCATATTCTATAATTTATTCATTCTTTAGCAGAAAATACTTTAGTGTCAGTTTAAAACCCTTGTTTGATAGATGGCTGTAGATAATGGTCGATTGAAGTAGAAGATATTTGAAGAGTGTATTTTCGTTTAACCAGTTTCAATTTATTGAATTATTGATGATTTTCAACGCACTTTTTCTTGATTTTCTTTTTTCATAAAGATTATTGAAACTACATTAAATAATAATTTTTTTTTAGACTTCAAGGAAATATGGTTGAACTTCCAAGTAATTAAAAATGTTATATAAACCCAAATTAAATTTATGAAGTTGAATGAACAATCAGCTTAATCAAACGTTCTACTTTAGAATTAATTGTAGCATTTGGTAATTTTGATAAGGAGAAAAGGTTAATTGTTATTTTTGATATTTCTTCATGTGTATATTGGTTCATATCAAAAGAATCCAGTAAACTATTTAATTGGTTTAAAGATTCTTGTTCTATTTCTGATATTTTTGAAGTGCAATATCTATAAAAAGAGTGTGAATGAATAAATAAAATATATGTCTCTTCTTTTCCACTAGAAAAATGAAATTGTTTTATATATTTAATAACTTCTTGAGTAGTGTATGAAGCAGTAATAAATGGATCTGCTAAAGTCTTCATTTTTGGGACTTTTTGAATAAAAAAGCTATCAAATATTGAAAGAAATTCAATGGTATTTCTTTCAAACTCTTTTTCTACTTCTATTCCAGCTTGAGTATCACTCATAGTTTTAACAACTTCAAACCTTTTATCAACAACGTGTCTTAGGTAAATATTATTTTGATTATCAAGAAGAGTTATTTTTCTATTCTTCTGAATGATATTAGGAATCATTTTATTTGTTACTCCAATAATAAGACTTTTTTCAGTATGAATCAAAGGGTCATTAATTGTAAAATATGGTCGAATTTCTCCAGAATATTTCAATGGGAAAATTAGTCCAACAAGATATTCAACTGTTTCACTCACTTCACAAACATCATCTCCTAATACAACAATACAATCACCTACTAATAATGAAACCCATATTGACCTTAACTCTCGTAAGTAATTTCTTAATAATGATGGAAAAGGTTTTTTTCCTGAAATAGTTACATCAAATCGTTTACCAAATAATTTTAAAGAAACTGATTTCCCTGGACAGTATTTTGGAAATGAAATAAATTTCATTTCTAGGACTTGGAGAAAAGAGCTTACATCAAAAATATTTTCTTTAAATGTTGGGATAAGTTGATATAATAAAGTGTGATAAGGTAATATTTCTTTATTTTTAGTAATTAATATTAATGATCTTTGTATTGATTCTCTTGATTTAATGTGAGGTATTTGAATGAATAAAACATGACAATATATTGATGAATGAATTAGTGGAAATCTGAATGTAAAAATTTTATATTTAGTTTCAATTATTTCATTTACTTGTATTCTATCAGGAAATGCAAGAAATATTCTAATCATTAGACCTTTTCTATTTCTTTTAATAATACAAACATTTGTGAAGAGAAATATTCACCGTATAATTCTGTAATGTTTGATGGGTTTTGTGCAATTATCTCTATTTTTATTACTTCTGTTCTTGTCAATTTTTGATAAAATCAAAAGTTCAACAAACTTCCTCCAATGTCTTTATCAAATGACACAACTAAACTTGCTTCACACCAACTTATTGGTTGTTTATTTTCTTCTGTCATTTGCAATTATTATTTTGCAAGTTTTAATTTATTAATTTTTTTAAAAAACAAAAAAAAATTGTTATTTAATTTTATAAAATAACAGAATATTTTTCAATTGCTATTTAAACCAAAAATAAAGGATTTTTACTAATATCCAAAAAGGGAAAAAATGATTTGAATTAATACCTCATAGAAAATCGAACGAAAATTTAAAAATACACTTGAAAGAAGAAACTTAGAATTAAGTAAATTAAATGTCAATGTCCAGAGTTGAGTTTGAAGAGAAATGTTCTGCAGAAGGTAAAATTTGTTATTTTAAATTACCTGAATTAGCTGAAGAAGCAAAAATATTAAATGATAAGATGTTTGACTTTAATAATGAAAGAGATTTTACTAAAAGACAAGAAATTATCAAAACGATTGTTAAAAGTATTGGTGAAAATAGTGTTATTTTTCCACCATTTAGATGTTCAAAAGGAAGGTTTATAACAATTGGTAATAATACTGTTATTAATGTTAATTGTTATATTATTGATGGAATTCCAATAACTATAGGTAATAATGTTATGATTGCTGCAAATGTTAGTATTCTTGGAGGAACACACTCAACTGATCCAATAATAAGAAATTATGGTACAGTTTACAGAAAACCTGTTACTATTGAAGATGGTGCATGGATTGGGTGTGGAGCAAAAATCTTACCTGGAGTAAGAATAGGTAAAAATGCTGTAGTTGGAGCAGGTAGTGTTGTTACTCATGATATTCCAGATAATATGGTTGCTGTAGGAAATCCTGCAAGAGTAAAAAGAAGAGTTTCAGAACATCCAGGATGGACAATAGAAGATAGAGATGTACCTTTAGATTAAAGTTTATTGACTTTTTTTTTTAAATTAAAAATACAAATTTTATGAAGATTATTATAAGTAAATAAATTAGTTTTAAAATTAAATTAAGAGAAGTGATCAATTACTCTCTTTAAAATTGATGCTTTAGCAGCAATTACTTCTGGATCATAAGTAGCAACTGGTTTAAATAACAATTCACCTAATGTTTCAGTAAACGTTTCTATTTGAGCTTGTTGATGGTTGAATAAATCAGTAATTTTACCCTCTTCTGAAGAATAAAAAGAATAAACATAAGAGAATTTCAACCAACATCGTGCTAAAATCAAAATATCGAATGCTTCTTCTATTCTAGAAATAATTCTTGATTGATTTTTAAAGTGTTCATAAACTTCTCCCATTGTTTTCTTTTTTTGTTCTCTTGTTTGTCTGTGAAGAGAATTATGACTCATCCAACGGTCAAAGTAATGATTATATTTTTCATAGAAAGTTTTTTTAGCTTTAGCTTTATTATCTAATTCATTTCCAAGACTTTTACCAGCATTATAAATATTACATGAATAAAACCCTCCAGTCTTTTCACCATGGGTTTTCCAATCTCCTCTACACATCCAACACCATTCTCCATGACACTTAGGACATGTCATATGATTACATCCTTGTGTTCTTTCACATAACAACCCACAATGGCAACATGCTTTTGCAGTCAATAATAAATATGAATTTTCATCATCTTTAGTTGATAATTCATTCCAATCAGATACTTGTTTACATGTTGCTGGTGCATGATACTCTCCAAGACATTTAAAACAAAATCGTTGTCCACATAAACAAAAAATGTTATCACTTGCTCTTTCTGATGATAATACAATTATAGCCCTTCCACATTGTGGGTTTGGACAAAAAACATTTCCTTGTAATTCAACATATTCTTTTTTCAAAAAATACCAGAACCTATCAGCAATATCAGGTGATATTTTCTTTACTAATTCATGATGTATTTTACAATAACATCCTTGACACATACATAAAGAGTCAATAAAATTTGGTCCTCTTTTCATAGCTTCTTCAATATATTCTCTCCAACAATTCTTACAATAATAATGTCCACAACTAAGACCAGTTACTTCATTTACTTCTTCATAACAAACATCACATGTTACTTTTCCTTTAGGTGGATCTCTTTCTGGCATTTTAGTCCCAGATAATACTAGGTACTTATCAGGATCATCAAAATAAACGTCATTCATTTTATTGACATTCCATTTAAAATGTCTCAATAATAAACTGCAATCACCCTCTCCAAGACAAGTAAAATCACAAACATCTCTCAATAATTTTTGCATTTCTTGATCAATTTTACAACTTTCTTTAATTTCAAATGGTTTCATTTGAGACTCAGCCTCCTCAAAGTCAGTGCTTGCAGACAACATTAATTATAATAATTTTAGTTTTCTGCTTTTATTTCTTTGTTGTTTCATTATTTTTCCATTTCCTTTTATTAGTTCCTTGATAAATTTCAAAAGTTGAACAGTTATAATTATATCAGTACTATATTCTAATAAAAATAATATTTATCAACTGTATTTTTTTGAGTCTTATTTTTTTTAGATGGTATTTTTCTTTCTTTTGTGAAATAAATTATTTCATTTCTATCAAATGTTTATTTTTTATTTTCTTAGTCTTTAGTTACGAAAAACTCAAATCCATATAAAATATATCTGATTAAATTTAATTATCAAGATACCCAAGTTCTTTAATATAAGCATATTGCTCAGGAATTTCATTCATGGCTGCACATGCAAAAGCAACTTCTGGATTTTCTACATGTCCTTCACAGACTTTGTAATAATTAACAAAATTAAAGTTATCAAATTTAGCTTTTCTTACATTATCATCAAAATTCTCCATTTCACCAAATGGTCCATCTCCAACACCAATACAAATAATAGAAAGTGGATAATTTGATGCTTCTTCAATTGCTCTTCTGTTGGGACCAACATCACTAACTTGTCCATCACAAATGATAATAAGAATGTGATATTGCTTTGTCTCTTTAACAATTTTAATTGCTCTCTTAATCAATGGAGCAAATGAAGTTGGTCCAGATAAATCAACTTGTGAAGCAACAACTTTATATCGTTCAACTGCAGCAGCCATTCCCAAGAATGGTTTAGATTCTGGGCTTAAATCAAATACTGACCTATCACCAGTTTTAGAATCACCAAATCCAAATACAGGAATAAGTCTATCATCATCAAATTTTTCCAATGTCTTTCCCATAATTTCCATTACTTTGATATATGGATTTGGGTCTGATTCATCAATAGTATGCATATTCTTTCCATATGTTCTCTTTCCAGAACTTGTATTAGAAGCAGTAAAATCAATACCAACTATAAGATTTGATGACTCAAGACCAGCCTTTTGTAAAGCAGCTTGAAGGTCTTCAACACTATCATATGTAGTCATAATTGGTTGTGTTATTCTCTTACGTTGAACTTTACTTCCTTCGTTTCCCATGTTAATTATTATTGAGATGTATTGTCTCTCTCAACTTCTTAAATATCTCTTTTTTCATATAAAAACTTTGATTAAAGATTTTTTATGACTAATTTTAAATTTTAAGATTCCTCATTCACCATAGTTTTATATTTTTATAGAAAGCAGTGTCTCTTTTCATTTTTTTTTTTGAATCTTTTTTAAAAAGAAAAAAGTGTTAAATAATAAATTCATCATCAAAAAATATCAAAGATATGATTACTGATTGGTTAATCACCAAGATTTCTCTCAAACAACAACATATAAATAATCTTCTTCCATACTAATCCATTAGCCTCCTGTTTAAACACATCCGTAATTATTTCATCATTCCATTCTTTATCAAACTCACTTTCATTACATCCACTTCTTGCTTTTGATAAAATTGGAACAAATTGTGATGCAGCATCAATCACAGCATCATCTGGCATTTGATAAAAATCAGCAATGCTCTGAATCATTTTAAGTAATGTCTTTAAATAAGAAACAAAATCATCAAAAGATTCAACTGGAGTTCCAATACAAATTTTAATGAATTGAGATTCTTCTATAACTACAATTTCATTTCCTTCATTTAGTCTTGAATTAGTGATACATTTCCATATATATTTATAGAGTGTAATATCACCTTTAACTTTCTTTAAAACAATACTATTTTCATTAACAATAACAGCTTCTTTTATTTTTTTTTCAAGTTCTTCTTTTTCTTGATGTTGTAATTCATTATAAACTACTTCTGCAATTTTTAATGTTTTCTTTTTTTCTTTCAAGTCAGTTATTACCTTTTTTCTTTCTTCACTTGTTTTTAAGTTAAGACATTTTTTCAAATAATTAATATTTTCTACAACGTCATTTATAATCATTAATTCTTGTTCAGTATTAGAAGGATGTTCAAAGTCTGAAATTTCTTTTTTCCATATATTTATTTCTTCATTAGTAGCAATTGTATTTAATTTTTCTTCTATTTCTTGTTCTTTTTTTGTTTTATCATTAACCTCGTTCTCTAATTCTAAAATCTTTCCTTTAATTTCTTTTAATGCATTTTCTCTTTTTTCATGTTCTGAGGGTTTAAAGCTTACTTCTTCAAAAATGGACATAGAACTGAATATTTAGTTACTATTTGAAAAAAATGAGAGACATTGTTCTCTTCTTATTTTTCTTCTCTGTTTTTGCTAGTGATTTGATTGATTTATACAATAGTGCATATCAGGCTTTTGAAGTTTGTTATTTTATCATTAAATGATGTATTGTTGAGGTAAAGAAAAATTTTTTACTTTATATTATAAAAAAGGTTCAGTCTTAATAACTATGAAACAAAAAATCACTTTATTATTTAAATGAAACAAAATTAATCTTTCTAGAATAAAGCTAACGCTCCAACAAATTGTCTTCATTTATATGGTCAATACCCATTAAACACTAATTATTCACAATCACCAACTGATTATTGTTATAGTTGTATAACAAATATATTTGATGTAGTCACTTTAAATTATGATTCTAACACTGGCCTTTCCTCTCAAGTACGTGCTGATGCTGTGTGGTTATCAAATGTACAATTACCAAAAACAAAAGGTATGAGTTATTTTGTCTCAACACCATCAGCATTTCTTCAATACCCAACAATTGAAAAACCATTCATTGATCCTCCTTATCTTGTTCCATTAAATGTTGTTGTTTTATATGATATTTCATCATCAAATTCTAGACCTTCAACATTATTTAGCTTTTTTAAAAGATTTACCTCAATGCAATATCTTTATTTCTTAACTTTTAATCACAACCCACAAAATGTTCTTCATCGTGGTAATTGCACTACTGATTCTATTAATCAATTAATGCATTCACTTTGTAAAATTTCATATGGAGGTGGAACAAGATATAGAGATGCATTCAACAAAATGATTGATGACATTAAACAAGACATATTTGATAAGACACAGACTATTGATATATTTCTTGTATCAGATGGAAATGAAATTCAGAACAGAAAGTTATTAAGAAAATCATTGGACAGATTAAGTGAATATAAGATTTCTGTCCATACTATCGATACTGGTGATGGAACATGGAAAGACAAATTATTTGAAATATCTTGTGAAGAAAATGGATATTATATTAATTCAAACGAACAAAGTATTGACATTTTATTTAATGCCCTTTGGCTTCGGTCGTTTATCAAAAATAATCAGAGAATTATTAATGGTCGTGCTTATTCAGGTCTTAACTCAACAAAAGCAATCTTAAAAGAACTAATTTGGGAGTATGATGATGTTATTTTCCCAACAAGAAGCTTTGGTGTAGTTGGTGTTATTGTTGATGAAAATACAAATATAACAGATGAAGAAAAATATATCACAGAACCAAAAGTTACAGTTAGGGATTTGGATATACAAAAATATGTTTTAAGAAGTTACACAGGTGGTTTATGTGGAAATGAAATAACGCCAACAACAGAAGAAATGAATGCAATTAAATTGACACTAAGGTCAATTGACAATTGGTATACAAGTTCATCAGAAACTACAGATGTTATTTGTAAAGACGTCAGTTCAAAGATAATTGGAAGTTGTGATGATAACGGAACGTGCGTAAAAATAAATCCATCAAATTATTACCTCAAAGAAAAATGTTCTTGTAGTGCATTGCTTAAGTTTATTCTTTGTGTCTTTTTGCTCATAATACTCATTTAATCAAATCAAATTTATTATTTTGTTTTCGTTATGAGTGATTTTAGATCTTAAAAATACAATAATTTAATAAAAGAACTATTAAGAAGTATTATAAAAATTATATAAAAAAGAGTAATTTGAATCTTGAACTCAAAGATATAAAAACAAGTAGATTCTTTGAGAGGACCAAAAAAAAAGAAAAAAATATAAAAATAAGAAACAATAAAAAATCAAAAAAGAGAATATACAAATAGAAAAATATAGTTCCCCAAAACTAATGAATATGATAAGGTATAAATGAAGTATAAAACAGAACTGAAGAACCAAAAATGAGGTGGTTATGATAAAAATTAGAACTTAAAAATGATTTAAATTCAAATAGAAAAACTGTATGAGAGAAGTAACACTTAAAAATAGAGATGAAAAAGGAGAATATTCTGGTATTGGGCTAAGGAAACCAGTTAAAGCAGAAAATAGTCATAAGAAAAAACTTACTATTGAAAAAGCAGTTATAGTTTTAATAATGAATGCATTATTAGAGTATGAAGATAACCAAGAGAAGGAGACTGTTTGTCCAAATTCACCAAAAGTACATTATGATGATCAATTTGATGATTTATATGATCAATGTTATCAATGTGTTAAAACATCTTTTGAAGTAACGAATTCATGTCATAATCTTCAAGAAGTATATCCTTATATTTATAGTCTTGTAAAGGCTTATAAAAATTCGGTTTAATACATTAAGGTCTTCTCGTACATATCCTTTTTAAGGAAATAAAATTAATTTCTAATTTATTTGTTTGTACTTGAAAGAATAAAAGTATTTTTTTTTTCTTTGCTTTTGTCATTGAAAAGCTTCAAAAAAGATATTTAAAAGAATGATAAGTAAAAATTAAAAAGGGATAATAATTAAAAATAGGTTTCAGAAAAAAAAAGAAGAAGGAAAAATGAAAGGGGAAGGAGTGTGTAAGTTCTACCAAAGGAAATGAACTATGTTCCGATGAAATAGAAGAGAAAAATTGAAAGAAGTAAAAGAGTTAAAATAGAAAAATGGAAGAAAAATATTATAATAAACAAAATAAGAAGAAAGCGAAAAAAAAGAGATTAAAAAGAACCCTAAGAACTTTAAAAAAGAACTTATTAAAAAGTTAATTCAAGTTTTAATGCAAAAATCCTCATCAAGTGAAGGAGT